CACCACTGCTCACATCAGAAGTTCTGGGACAGTTAAGGCTTCTGTAGCCACCAGCACTGTTAAGGCTTATTTCTCTATTCCTGTTCAGCACAGGAGCAAATGACAAATGCCAGTGGTTGCAGAAGCCTTATCAACACTAGGCCTCCCAAGATGGCTGCCACTGGTGAAGATTTTTAGCAATGCAGGGAATTTTTGTGAAAAGGTGCCCATTAGAGTGAATGGAAAAGAGCCTGTTGATTTCAGTGGGCATTATATTAAGCCCAAGAACAGAATGGGTGAGATTTACGCTCCTATTCTGGCTCTTGTATGACAGATAAAAGGGCTGGAGCAGCATAAAGATGCTTTAAAAGTTTCTGATCCAACTAGAGGAGAATTCCTCCAGCATAGTACTAAGGAAAACAGCTGGAGAGTGGCCTCTGAAGAACCCTGCCAAGTCTTGGCAAAGAGAGCATGCAGGGCTGGGGCTGAGGTCAAGAAGAGCAGAGCTGCAGAACGTAGTGCTGTGGAAATTCTGAGCCCCACTGCAGCCCACAAGGCAGCTGAATAACATTTAGAAGCATTTGATTTCCACTGATTTCCATGGAAGTCAGACTCATCTTAGGGAGGCAACCTGACCACTCCAGTGACCTAGTAGTAGAGCAAAGGACTAGAAGCCAGAAGTTCTGACTCCCAGCCACCTGCTAGCACCACATACCCCAGCTTCTCATTTGTCTTACGGCCGTTCAGCTCATAGTGGAAAAAAAAGACTTTTAAAAAAAACTTGTTTTAATTTTTAAATTGCCATTCCCATAATTAATCACTATCTTCACTGTAATTGGGTTGTCTGGCACAGTAGGGAAAAAATGACTGTAGGGTTTTTTTGTTTGTTTTTTTGTTTTGTTTTGTTTTGTTTTTTAGTTTTTTTTTTTTTTAAGCAAACCCCTTTAGTTTTAAGTAAATAATTGCTTAGGTCTCATAAATAATTATGGCATTTGATGAATCATTTCAACTCATTTTAGATTTTAAGTAATATTTAACAGCACCATGCAGTAAAGTAATTGTGGGATTAGGAATTCATTTGTCACTCAGGTAAATCATTATTTTAATTAGATCAAGTACAGAAATTGCTATTTCTTGTTAGAAAAGGTAATTTAAATGACATTCAATATGCTCATCATTTTACCAAGAATACAGAAAATTCTGTTAATATTCAAGGGTGTTACCCAGCTCCATCCCAGACCCCACTTTTCCTTCATTAATATCATGGAAGAGTGCGACCCCCAACCATTTTCCAAATAGTCTGTGTGCAAAACTCAGAGCTCACACCAAAGAAAACATAATATTTTTGCATCCTTCTATATTGATCTTATAGCTCACTCTTTGGTTAAAAAAATGCATGTACAAGTTCTTTGCAGACGAGCTGAGACCAAACAGAAACATGTTCTGAGAGCATAGAAAATGGACTTTTGTCCTAGAGGGGTTTTGGGGTGTTATTTATGATTGCGAATGATTCAGTGGTGAGAAAAGAGACATCAATTAAAAGTAGCCTTTCTCTGGGAAACCCAGCAGTAACATTCTTTCCTTAGGAATAACACCTACTATTCCTTAGGGATAATCCTGACCGACAATGTCTGCACTAACATAAAAAGTTGTCCTAAGCTACATAAATCCAGCTACATGAATAACATAGGTTGAGTTACTGTGAGGTCAACTGGACACACTCTCCCGTCAATTTACCTTCCTTTTATCATCTGGGGTAGAGTACAGGGGTCAACTGCAGAGTGATCTGTGGTCAATTTGGTGGGTCTGCACTTGACCTACTATACTGACCACCGGTGGTTTGATCTTTGAGTGTCAGTCCCTGTTGTAGTGTAGATATAGCTAAAACTTTCTACTGGGAGAAAGAAAGAGTGAAAAGTGGATTTATGACATGGTGTGTGCTCCTGATATTAGAGCCACCTAAGGGAAGAAAGGGAACAAACTGCAACTTATGCAATAGAGATCTTAAAGCCAGAAGGTCAATAATTTTTAAAGTGAAATACTAATTAAGGTTATTTATTCCAACTAATCTCTCTCTCTCTATGATATGGAAGCTGAGATGTTGCTGAGCTCTCTACAGCCAATAACCCTTCCTCAAAACTTGTTAAAGGGGAAGACTGATATATTTTCAGGCAGGGATGGGGTCAAAAGACCAATCCTAGCTGGAGCTGACAGCCATGAGAAATGGAAAATGAGGATCCCACAGAGACATGGGATGAAAGCTGAAACACAAAGCTGGTCGGTCCCTCGTCAGAGAAGAGGGCTGGGAGACAAAAATGAAGGGCAGGGATCCAAGATGGATAAGTTAGGCAACAGCTCATATTTGCATATCTAGGGCATCCTTGGTAGGAGAAAAAAGAAGTCAATTCAAAATACCAGAAATCTAATCTGCACGCTTCCCAACTTGACCAAAACCCTCACTTAAGACAGCCACTGTCAGCTACTCAGAGGGACCTAGCCCAATGAATCTGTGTGCTTTCCTGTTATGAGAAGCAGACAGAGAGATATGGGCAGAGCTGCCTGCATAAAGATGGGCAGAGATGCCTTCATAAAGAAAGAGAACACTTTTTCATGCCAAACTCACACCCAACCTTTCTGAGGTTAGGAAAAGGTCAGCTCACTCTTGGGGGAGTTACACCAATGTTTTGCATTTGACAGGTTTCTGCAGGAGCCAGTAATAGAAGACACAAAGTATCCCTTCCCCATTGGCAAACATAGTTACTGGGAACATCACAATGAGTCTGATCTTATGAGATTTCCAGCCTAAGAGCTGGTTTTGCAGCCTTCCACACGTGAATAATACTTAATCATGCAAGCAGTCCTGTTGATTTTGTGTGACACTGTCTTGTTCATTCCTCACATATTACAGTGATGAATGCAGCATAAGAACCTGTGGTGCATTGATTTAAATGGGGATGCCCCCTTGACTATAGATAATTCACACGTGTCAGATTTGCAAAAGAAGATCTCAGCTTTGCAGGTGCAAGAGTCTATATTAAAGTTCAAATAAGCTGCCAAAATTTTGGATATCCAAATATTTTAGTGTTCAAGCTGCCCTAAGTATGACCCAAAGTCGAGTTTCCAAGATTCTGGTGAAAATGTTTCACATATTGGAATAATCAACTTTTTGTTCTAACTGCTGCTTAAATTGTTGAGATGCTGCACGTGGATTGAGAGATGTTTTTGAGCATTCCGGGAATCTCAATACTACACCAAATTCCCAAAATCAGGATTTATTCTCAAGTTGGCTCAAAATAGGAATTTATCATATTCTAAGGGGAAATGACAATTTTCCACCTATGAAAGAACCAGTTTATTTCTTTAAAAAATTCAGAGAGAAACTAAGAAATATTTTGGTTTTATGGCAAATCCAAATAGCTTTGTGTAATGGTTTGGCTAGTGGTAAGAATTTCTTTACACCCCTGTATAGTTGTCTTGTGCTCCATGAGCACCATGGACTTCGCAAACTCTGTTCTCCTTCCCTCTCCCTTTTATCCTGTGTGTGGTACAAGGTAATGAAGGAGGAAGGCAAGGTGTCCACATCAAAAAGACTTTATTAAAAAGACACTGGGGAGATCATGAACAATCATAGAATCATAGAATAATAGGACTGGAAGGGACCTCAAGAGGTCATCGAGTCCAGCCCCCCGCCCTCAAGGCAGGACCAAGCTCCACCTACACCATCCCTGACAGATGTCTATCTAACCTGTTCTTAAATATCTCCAGAGAAGGAGATTCCACCATCTCCCTTGGCAATTTATTCCAATATTTGACCACCCTGACAGTTAGGAATTTTTTCCTAATGTCCAATCTAAACCTTCCCTGCTGCACTTTAAGCCCATTACTCCTTGTCCTGTCCTCAGAAACCAAGAGGAACAAATTTTCTCCTTCCTCCTTGTGACACCCTTTTAGATATTTGAAAACCGCTATCATGTCCCCCCTTAATCTTCTTTTTTCCAAACTAAACAAGCCCAGTTCATGAAGCCTGGCTTCATAGGTCATGTTCTCTAGACCTTTAATCATTCTTGTCACTCTTCTCTGTACCCTTTCCAATTTCTCCACGTCTTTCTTGAAATGTGGCGCCCAGAACTGGACACAGTACTCCAGCTGAGGCCTAACTAGTGCAGAGTAGAGCGGCAGAATGACTTCACGAGTTTTGCTTACAACATACCTGTTGATACAACCTAGAATCATATTTGCTTTTTTTGCAACAGCGTCACACTGTTGACTCATATTCAACTTGTGGTCCACTATGACCCCTAGATCCCTTTCTGCCATGCTCCTTCCTAGACAGTCGCTTCCCATCTTGTATGTATGGAACTGATTGTTCCTTCCTAAGTGGAGCACTTTGCATTTCTCTTTATTAAACCTCATCCTGTTTACCTCTGACCATTTCTCTAACTTGCTAAGGTCATTTTGAATTATGTCCCTATCCTCCAAAGAAGTCGCAACCCCACCCAGTTTGGTATCATCTGCAAACTTATGGATAATCAATGTTCCAGACCACCAGCTGTTTGAAAGGTTCTCTTAACCCTCTGATGCTGGAAGTCTGGACAGCAGAATAAAAGAACTAGGAGAGAACACCAGATTTTGCCTATAGGGAAAGGAATAACCACCTTGTAACAACGTGATCCCAGGCCTGTTGAAGTCAATGGGAATTTCACTGTGTAACTTATGTTCATGGCCTTTGATGAATGTGGTGGAGTTTACATATTTTGTACAGAATTTCATGACCCATTCTGGCTAGTGACACCTTTTATGTGGGAACCATGTCAGTATCGATGGTCACTGTGTGCCCAACTCATTTCCTTACCATTTCTGGATGAGTCTTTTTGTCTTTGCACACCTCACTGGTTGGTTACAGCAGCTCATATCCCTACAGAGACCAGGTCCGCCCAGCCCACAACACTGCTTCCACTTTCTGGATGGTCAATATTGGTCACCTCACTTTGTGGGTTGTTTTTTTTTTTTTTTTTTTTAAGAGAGACCCAAAATCTACGAGAAGGAGACGGATTTTGACAAGGTTGTGCAAGTGAACCTTGGAAGCAAACACAGTCTTGAGTGCACTGTGAGTGCGATTCCTGACCCCAAGATCACATGGGAATGGGAGCCATGCACCCCTGCAGAGACGCTGGAAGTGCACATCCCTGGGACTCGCTTTTCCAGGTGAGCTGGTTACAAATCATGAGTTTCTCTTTCTGATAACTCCTCTTGCCAATATGCTTGGGTGTCTATGAAGGTGATGACTTTTAACATCAGGCTATCACACCAGTGCCTTTTCTTTATACTTTTAAAAGGGCAACAGAGATCTTGGAGACTGAAGTCATCTGTCCACAGTATGGACAACCACAATGCAGGCTTCCCCCACATATCCCCATTATATACCTGACCTGGAGAGTCAGTCCTTAGCCACTCAGCTGAGTATACCATCCAAAATAATGTTTCTTGAACTATTGAAGCAAATGGGAGTTTAGCCATTCATTCAAAAGGCACTGGAGGGGGGGGGGGGGGGGATGGCAGGCACTGGGGGGGGGGGGGGGTTAATGCCAGCTGTGGTGCTGGGTTCTGTGTCCATTAGAACCTTGCTCTGAAATCGAACAACTCATAGCATGCAGCCCACCAAAGAATAGGTGATTACTGTGAAACCAAACTGGGTTCATATTTATGATCTGGACAGGGAAGGCTATATAATCTCTTCACTCCTTCCATAAAATATAATAGTATATTATGGGCAGGAATTTTGCATCTTGTGTTCTTTAGTGAAGACAGACAGGACTAGTTACCTTGAAAGGACACTCACAATTCACATTTTACTCAAAATTTAGATTTTGTAAAAATAAACTTCTACAAATACCGATGGAGAAGTTCATGAATCTTTAAATTCCAATGGAAATAGCTGCTTTTAAAACAAATAACCAATCCCCTGCAGAGTTTGCAACCCAAAAGCACAAGATTCGTAGATTTTAGGGCCAAAGGGGATCATTTCATTGTGTCTGAGCTCCACCAGGTTCTTATTGGTGAAACAAAAGTGAAACTAATTCTATTGATTTGCATTGTTTGAGCCAAGAAATAGAGGTGCAAAAAATAACACTACAAAGAGCAAAAGTCAATTGGATTTTGGCTGGAGTAGTCTACTGGGTTATTAGCAACCGAGCTAAGGAAAAATGCTTGATAAATAGATGTTTCTGTTACAAGGCCATTTTATACTGCTTAGGCTATAAATTATGCCAATTTTTTTGGTCTCTTTTACTGTTAGAACAGTGACAGGTCACCTTAGTGTAACAGAATTAGACCAGATTCTGTTTAACCTGACAGTGTGCCTTTGACTTAGCTGTAGTTTTTTCCTGTGCATCCTTGGATGCAGGATAGTTGATAAGGAAATGGCAGATTTGTGTGAGCAACTAGCAAGGGCAGCTTTGAAGAAAAGGTTTATTATTTTTAAGTGTAGAAATCAAACAATCACAGAGAAAAGAGCCTCTTTCTATCCCTTCAGCAACCACAGATGGAACAACCTCTCAAGGATTTAGGTTCAGTTTCACATAGAAGTCCCGTATGTCTAACCTGAATCTCAGGAGCTGTCTTCTTCAGTGCTCTTTGAATAGTCCCTCATCCACATCAGCTCTCTATTACATACTGAAAGGTGCAACAAGGGATTGAGTGCCTTGCTGTGAACATTTGTTTGCTAAAGAACTAGAGTCAGCATGAGAGTTTGTAGAAGCAGAAGAAAGCTGGCAAGTCAGAATCCAGCAAACAGGAACTAAGTGAGTGAAACACAAAATGCTTCATGAGGATTAGACAAATAGAATTTTCCTTTGTTCCTATTGAGCTATTAGCAAAATAATCCATGGGGAGGTGCCCGGGCTCAGATCTGAATGGTAAGTGTTTCCCCTGGTGAGCACCGAAGGGAAATACAGGAGCCAAAGGTAACAACTCCAATTGCACTTTAACCCTTTTCTTCAGTGAGAAGGCTAGGGCCAGATTTTCCACCTCAAAGATAAAGGCCGATGTGTGAAGAAGGAGGAGAGAAATATGCTGTGTAGCTCCTTTTTTCTGCTGTCATTTGAAAAGCAGCCGTGGAAAATGTTTGAAATGCTGACTGCTGTTTCAGTGCTTTTTCAAGGACATGTTTGGCGACAGGCTATCGGGCATGGACAGGTGGCAAGGGCATCTCCCAGACAAGGTCATTTTAGTGTACCTGCTGCCAAAAGGAAATTACCCATGGAGTTACTTGGAACAGCAGCCACCAGGGTCCCAAGATTCAAGCATCAGCAGCAGTCCCGTGTTCATCCCCATGCGAACATATATCGCAGTGTTGTCTTCAAGTCGTCATTGTCAAGTCCAAGTCGAGTCTCGAGTCCCTAAAGTCACTTTCGAGTCAAGTCCTAAGTCGAGTCTCAAGTCTTAATATAAAAAATGTCAAGTCACTTTTGTACAAGCCATCAATATCGGCATTTTCGGACAATTTTTTCACCAAGTCAATTTAACAAAATTAGCAAGTCTCAAGTCGAGTCTCAAGTCACAAACAATGAACCCGTGTCGAGTCTCAAGTCAAGTCACCTAGGCAACTTAAGTCGGACTCAAGTTCAAGCTGAGAGGCTCGAGTCAACAACTCTGGTATATCGTAGCTGGGTAATTGGTTTGGCATTTGGCCAACAAACACATTGTCTCTCCAGGAATAAAACAACAGCTGGGAATTTGCTAGACCTTTGCTAGAGCAGATAGGTATTGCACTAGGCTTCCATGGAGGGTGTTCAAAGCACCATCACTGAAGGTATTTAGACAGGTCCTTACATAAAACTGGAGAGGGAATACTGCAGGGTAATGTTATCACGCAGCCTGATGGAAATCGCACTAGCTCACCTGCAAGATTCTGCATCTAGGTTGGGATTGCAAGATGCCAACCTTCAACTACATTTCCCTGCATTTTAATTTCATGACCTCTCACCAACAGCAGTCACTTTGTGTGAGTAACTCTGGGGCATTACTGCCAACCTGGACCAAATTCGAACCCGTAACCTGAATACAAAAGGCTGTGCATAACCCAGCCCAACTCCCTGAACTATTCCGTCCCTGATGTTATCTGGTTAAATATAACTGCAGAGTGGCGTCTGCCTCTGCTGGCCTCTAAGGCAGTCTTATCTCTCCTCAGCAGAAGCTGTAGGAGGATTCCTGTGGGAAATGATCCACACCCCACCCTCCCTCATTTCCTGCTGTTGTCTCATTTCCGCTCCTTCTCTCTCTCACTGCTGTAGCTGGAGTCCCAGAGTGCTGTCATTGTTCACTCCAAGTCTAGCTGTGATTTGATTTGTTTCCTTTGAGCTCCTGCCTTACGCAGTTTTTTCAGGGAATTGTTACTTGCAAAGCCACTCAATGCACATTCCGACTATATTGTGCTGTAAGGAGACACCACTATTAGTACAGATTTATTGATCCAAAGTGTGTCCTGTGATCTCCTGGCACAAACAGTTTAGCCCCAATGTGCACTTTACACAGGCTGTCTTATCTATTGGGAGCCTGATTGTCACAAGAACCGCACCCACAACTCCTGAGCAAATCAGTGGAATATATGGGTATGCTGAACCTCTGAAAATCAGGTCAGATCTATTTTGCACCAAGTTTTACCTTCTATAATCCATTTCTGGTGCAATGGCCTCTAAGACTGAGGGCAGAAGTTCAGGCTCCCTGGTCATCCAAACCTTGGCATCTCTGCTGAAACAGCTAACATGGGAGTAGATTTCTGTCTTGTGTGTTGATTTTGCAATCTAGACCCCTCTCTCTTAGGATCTGAATTGAATGAACTACTCATCCATCAATCACGTGGAAACAATTTCCATTCACTTCCATCATGGGCTGGATTTAAATGGGCAACCATGTAAAAAAAAGATCCCTAACCAGCACAGATATCAGACCCCTGAGCCAGCCAGCCTTCTGAAGAGTGCCATCTGCGATGAAACTTCAGAACTAATAAGAAGAGCACCCTATTCTGTCTAATATCATTGAATCAAGACAATATAAAGCTGAAAGAGACTTTGAGATGTCATCTGGTCCAGCCCCCTTCACGGAGACAGAAGCAGATAACACTAGGCCATGGCTGACAGGTTTTTGCCCAACCTGTTCTTAAAAACCTGCAAAGATGGGGCTTCCACAACCTCCTTTGGAAGCATATTCCAAGGCTTAACCACCCTTAGAAAGTTTTCCCTAATATCTAATTTAAATCTTCTTTGCTTTAGATTAACCCCATTATTTCTTTTTTCTGCCTTCACCAGACATAGAGATAATTTTGATTCATTGTCCTCTTTATAACAGTCCTTAACATATTCAAAGTCTGTTATCAAGTCACCCTTAATGTGCTTTTCTCAAGACTAAACATGCCCAGTTTTTTTAACCTTTTCTCATGGGTCAGGTTTTCCAAAACTTGTATCACTTTTGTTGCTCTCGTCTGCATTCTGTCCAATTTGTCCATGTCTCCCAAAGCACACCACCCAGAACTGGGCACAATGCCTCAGCTGTGGCCTCACCAATATCACCTAGCACAGGACAATTACCTCCCGTGTGTTATGTATAACACTCCTGTTTATACACCCTAGGATGACATAAGCTCTCTTTGAATGTATGCAAACACATTACATTAATTTTCAGTCTGCTTTACTACTATGACTAGAAACTCTATTTCTTTTCCTTCTGTTGTCCTTAGTATTGTGGAAGAAAACATGCATCCGTTCTTGTCCCTTTCCCTCGCTTATTTATCCTACTTGAATTTTCTAGGTAGGGGTATTAAAAGTCATCATTCACCTCCCACTGTTTGAACGAGTGGGATTCCTAATTTCAGAATCTAACAGGAAGTGTCTGATATCTTTAATGAGTTATGACTATAATGATCTGCAGGTGTAGCTCCTGTTTTGCAAATCACAGTTTTATGATTGAATTTAATTTCCCCGTACTCTCTGTCTTTAGCGGTTTCATGGGGAGTGTAGAGTTTCTTAAGGAGGCTGCACTAGCTTGGGCCATGTTGGTTTAGTTCCCTGCTACTCCACAGACTTCCTGAATGAATTTAGGCCAGTCACCGAGCTTCTTGGTGCCTCAGTTATAATAAGGATTATAGCAATGTCCTGCCCCACAGCATTGCTGTGGCAATAAAAGGGGCTGTATAGATATTTAAAATGGATTATCAGACATGAGTTCAGGACTATCCAAAAATCTCAAGGACTCAGTTTATAGAAATATCACTTGCAGATCTTGGAGCATTGGGGATGTTTCACTGGTTGCCAGGCCGGCGATGTGTGGGGGATGGGGAGGGGGAACGGAGAGCAACTATCCCAGGTCCTGGCAAATTAAAGGGGCTTGGAGCTCCCAGCTGGACTGCTGGAACCCTGTGTGGTGTGCTACACCAGGTGGTGTGCTCCAGTCAGTGATAAGGGAGGGGCGGCCCAGGTGGCGTTGATGGCCAGCTGCCCTGGCCCCACCCCTTCCATCTGAGGCTCCGCCCCCTTCCAGGAATATAGAGCCACTCCCCCCATACCTTACCCAGGGACCAGGCGAGTCAGTCTGCTTGCCTTCTGGTTGCAGAATTCTGTTATTTATCATCTAACAGGACTATCTTACTATAAATACTCCTGCTCTGGTCTTTAGATACAGTTTTGAAACCATGCTGAAGCCAATCTGGTCTCTAACACTGTTTGACCAGCCATTGTGAATGGGACTCACCCACTTTCTACTTAATGCATTCTAAAATAGAGTCCACATTTTAGACATGTGGTCTGGCTTGTTTAAGCCACATAAGAAAATGATTTAGCTGGATCAAAGTTTAACCCAAATTTAAACCTGACCCCAAAATGAGCATGAGATGTACTGATGGTCATTTCCACAAGGAGACAGTCTGTTATCATCAATAGTTTTTAAGAAATCTGGAGGCACTGCACAGATAGGCTACATGTACACTGTGGCAATATTTCAGGGTATCCCGCATATTAACAGCGCATCTGTTATTTCGAAATATAATGGTCTCACTATTCCAACATCCTTGTAAACCTTGTTCCATGAGGAGTAAGGGACATTTTGAAATAGCGGTTTATTTTGAAATTTGCCGCTGTGTAGACCGTACAAATTACGAAATAAGCTATTTTGAAATTGACTTGAAATAAGCTGCGCAATTTGCATCACTCAAATTGTGTAGCTTCTTTCGAGTTAGGGTGCAGTGTAGATGCAACCATAGAGATCACCTCTGTTTGAATGTTTCCTATACAGACTATGTACAGCAAGTTTTTGTTTTTCAATTTCACCCTCTCTTTCCATTTCCAGCTGCAGACAAGGTAGGCAAAGAATTGTCATTCAGCAAAACATCAGTGGGGCAGGCATGTCCACAGGCAACAAAATCGAGAGCATCGAGGAAAAAAAATATGAAGATAAAAAAAAGGTATGTCCCAGAGTAATGGGTTTCTTGGAGCAGCTACTGCACTCACACAGAGTAACTGTCTCTGCAGGGCCATCCTTATCTACATGCAGGATATGCAGTTGTGTAGGGCACCAAAAATGTTGGGGCACCATTGATTCTTAATGTCTCTGGCTCTGCTTCTGCCAGAGAGGATCTGGGTAACTTAAAAGTGAAAAAGGCTGCCAGAGCTAGTAGCAGAACAATGAACATGTGAAAGAGCCTTCTCAATGGTAATGACACACACACACACACCCTGGGTTATACTGTAAGTTGCTGAATTTACTGTGTTAGTCTACAGGACCTTAGTTTAGAATATGCTTTAAACCTATTTCATAAGGGTGTTGCTAAAGATTATAAAATTGCATCTCTAAAATATCATCATCTCCCCAGGCTGCCATCGGGCATAGGGGCACCAGTTTAATAATACTGTGTAGGGCCCTATACATCCTAAGGATTCCCTTGTCTCCTATATCTCAAGCGCTGCTTTTCCTAACTGCTGACATGCTTTAAATTCCACAGCCCTGGGATCATTTTTCAAATCTCTGCAATTTAGGAATGTTAGACTCTGGCAGTGATGTCATTTGCCCTGCTTAAAACTGTCCAAACACGTGCAGGTCAAAAACCTTTCAGTCTCAGTCAGTCTTGAGAAAATGTAAGGAGAGCTCTGTACAGGAGTGACTCGCACTCAGCTCTAAGCCCCCAGAATACTTCTCTCTTACCGAGCCCTTTGTATCTGGAATGCACTTCACCACCATGCTCACAGTACACCTGTGAAAGATGGAAGCATTATTATCCCCATAATAATCACCTCAACCTTTACATTCTCCTGAAAGCCCTTTTTAAATCTGCATTAGAGACAGCAGCACGAGGTGGCAGGCAGGAGCCGTTTCACCAGGGGAACCAGTTTAAAAACCAGCTCCCCATGCAGACAGGCTGCCTGCCACACCGTGCTGCTGCCTCTAATACAGAGGCAGCAGCACGGGATGCCAACAGCCCCTGTCCAGGGGGGTACTAGTTCCCCGCGGATAGAGGCTGGTCCCAGGCCACTATGGATGGAGGCTGCTTTGCAGCAGCCTCTCCTATCCCTCCCCCTACTGCTGCCTCTGTTAGAGGCAGCTGTAAGGGAGGCAGGTGGCACCACAGAGCTGGTGCTAGGGGGAACCAGCTTTTAACAAGCCCATTCCCCACGCATATCGGCTTCAGCCTGCCCCCTTCCCCCTCTGTACTACTGCTTCTCTATCAGAGGCAGCAGCATGGGGGCAGGGGGCAGGCAGATCTGGTGCTCATGGGGAGCCTGCTTAAAGCCAGCTCCTCATGGGCACCAGCTCCTGCTCCACCCCACCGCTCCCCCCGCTGCCTCTGATGTAGAAGCAGCAAAGGGGGGATGTGTGTAGTCAACAAGATTAACCGATAAGTCCTGGCTTCTTGGTTAATTGTGTAGTCGACTATAAGTTGACATCCCTAGTGCCTGCCCTTCATGAATATTCACCCTGTATTGCAGGCTCTGAGCTTGCTGTCAAAGCCATGCAGTTGAGCCTCCCTCTGTGGCTAAGCAGAGCCCCTTTTACTTCAATGGAGCACCAGCGCAGGTGTAAGTGTTGCCAGACAAGGAACAGATAGCAGGATCAGGGTAATAGTTTGAAGTGTTTGGGTCTGACAGACACCGGAGGGTATTTTGTGCTGGGGAAAAGTGCTCAGTTGGCAGCATCAAAGCCTTCCTCAGAGCAGAAATAGCATGGGCAGCACAGGGCACATTCTTTCCCCAGCCCCCAACCAGAACAGACCTTGTCTAGTACAGTTTCTGTGGCTCATTCAGTCCTTGGCATCCTAAGTCCATTGACAAAGGTGCTTTCTTTAATGATATCATCTGTCCAGTAGTCATGGGCTGAAACCACTGCCTCAGTTCCCATAAGCTTCTGCTCAACCAGCATTCCTCATTAAGCAGGATTCAGAGCAGTGAACCAAAAGCAGAAGGATCTTTGGCCCCCATCTCTTCTCCTGAAACAATCCGAAGCAGGATGGTCCAGTGATTAAGGAGTTAGACTTGGGCAAGTCACTTATCTCTGTGCATCAGATCCCTCTCTATAGGACTGGGATAATAGCAGTTTCCTCCTGACAGGTGGTGTTGTGAAGATAAATGTAGACAGAATAGTATAGATAGGTGTTCGGGTACATTATATAAAGTGCCTTAGCAAGGCCTTGTCTACAGTGGATATAAGTTTCATTGCTCAGGGATGTGAAAAAGTCAGCTCCCAAGGTGATGTAACCTACATCGACAGGATGATGAGCGATCACTCGTTGATGAGTATGATCATCTTCCATGGGAGTTATGGACTCTCAGGTGGCTGATAAGGCCGATCTTTGAACCACAATTTCTATTACTGTGAGGACAGATGTTTCCAGGTACATCAGGAGGCTGTTGATGACTAGAAGCCACTTTCCCCTTGCTCCTGCACCTCTTCTCCCCTTCAGCATGTCGGCGGGCAAATTCAAAATGCAGAGAGCCATTGCGTAGGACTTGTCTCCATTTTGAGCAATCCTGGGCAAGTGTCTCCCAGGAGTCAACGTCAATATTGCACTTCTTTAAGTTATCCGTTAGCAAATCCTTATAAGGCTTCCGTTGCCTTCCCACGTTATGGTATCATTCTTTCAGCTGAGAAAACAGGGGCTGTTTTGGGAGGCAATGATCTGGCATTTGAACAATGTGACCAGTCCAGCAAAGTTGCTGATGAAGGATCATTGGCTCAATACTGGTGGTCTTTGCCTCTTCTAGAACACTGATGTAAGTGCACCTGTCTTCCCATTTCATCTTCAAGATCTTGCAGAGGCAGTGTTGGGGATACCTCTCAAGGACTTTCAAGTGTTGTCTGTAGGTTGTCCAGGCTTCAGACCCATATAATAGTGTTGGGAGAATGACTGCTTGAGAGACAAAAAGTGTGGTGTCTGTTTTAATGTCATGATCTTAAAAAACCCTGTACCATAAACAAGCAAAGGCTGCACTGGCACAGCTCAGACGATGCTGGATTTCCACATCAATATCTGCCCTGGATGAAAGACAACTTCCAAGGTAGAAAAAATTATCGACATTTTCCAGTGCCTCTCCATTGATTTTAATAGATGGGGTGCATGGTACCTCATTTGGAGAGGGCTGATGGAGCACTTTGGTTTTCTTGATGTTGAGGGTGAGACCAAGACATCAGCAGACACGTTCAGGATAGCCTGAAGATCTTTCTCAGAGTGGGCAATAATACATCGACATAATGCAGTGTTTACATCATGCTGCATCCATGTGAGACCAGCTCCCACTAACAGCTTCCACCTCTCATTGAGGTGAATTAATTACATTGATGGGAGAATGTGCTCCTGTCAAGGTAGTGCATCTTCACCAGATGCAGTCACTCAACACCGCCACATGAATTGCAGTGATGCCGATTTAGCATGGTAGTGAAGACAAGGATACATAGATCCAGCCTCCTCCACACAAGTTTATTTTTCTAAAGATGCCTCTTGTTGTTGTCTCGGTAAGAAAACTTCTTTTCTTCTTCTGGGATTATTAAAACAATTTTGCAGCTGTTGTTTGATCCCAGTTTGTGGTAGCCCTTTTCTGGCCTTTGTTGTTCTTTCTAGATTGCAGTCTTGCTGAAGTGTTTGTGTCTGTGTGCATTCCCAAGCTCTCAGCACACACCCTTTTTATGTACACATTTAAATGTCATTATTAAATGTTCTTTAAAAGATACATTTATAAATTATATTATTTTACAATTTATGATTTGTTCTTTCATTTCTATCTCCCCCTGGCCCACTGGTTATAAAGTCATTCTGAGGTCTTTCCTAATAACTCGGTGTCTTGATTAAGATTTATTCTTATTAATAAGCTAGGTTTATGTGAATCTCAGATTTCAGCACTCTGTCTTCCAGCTTATATTGTGGACAATCCTACCCACCCCCTTTGTGAAGGCCAAGGCTATCTATGTTGAGTTAAGTGGAGCCTTTAGATGATAGAATACAAATGACAGAATTTTTAAAAGACACTGATGAAATCTTGTAGCCTTCAGACTTTTCCTTGTTTTTATCCACAGTTATTCCCACCAGAAATGAAACAGACAGGAAATAGACCAATCCATTCCCACCATGTCCTATCAAGTAATTCATCTGCATTTGACTAGCCAGAAGAAATAACAAAGATGTTGGAGACTGTCTTAACCCAGCTTTTATTGACTGTTATGAAGCTGGGATTAGCTGAAATTGGTTACTTTTCCTGTGTGGCTTGAGCATGTCCTGCCATAGTTGAATTGCTGCGAAGGGGAAGGTGAATTTTTCCTAGTCCCCAGCTTTTTGCTACATTCTGTCTCAGACTCCTTCCATTTCAGGCTCTTAAAAACCTGCAGAGAATCAAATTTCTACAGTGACATTTTTAAAACACTGCTCTAATATTTTAGGACCATGACTGCTGACAGTGCAGAAACCGCACACCCTCTAAATTCCTGGGGTTGCTGCCCTAAAATCAGACTTTTTCTCTCTATCAGATGCATGGAGTTTTGGACTTTAGTGATGGCATTCATGCATTTTTTTAAGCCCTGAGTTTTCCCTGAGTCATTAGCAAACCAATCACCCAGCAAGGTGCTAGAGAATTCTGGGCTGCTAGAAATGATATTTTCCAGTTGAGACATCCAGCCATCTCATAATAATGTCTTGCAAGGATCACTAAGTGTCTTGCACACACAAATCAAGGCAGTCTCGTGTTATCTTTGTGGGTTGTAAAGCTTTTGTTATTATTCCTTTTCACAGATGGATGAGGGGAATTCCAAGGGTGCACGATACAGGAATGAAGTTGCAGGGGAGTTTGTCAGCTGAACAATTAAGGAGACATTTTAAAAACATGACCCCGCCTGCGTGCACATTTCCAATGAGCTTCCAAAATCAGCAACAGGTTTGTCTGTAGGGCAGGGCAGTGTGAACAGTCAGGCTACGTCTACACTGCA